AGCCAGACAGTATACTCTGTACTACTCATTGCAACCAGTCGCCATGGTCTTTGACTAGACGACTACCCCCTGATTATCACGGCGGTTTATCACGGTCAAACCTCTGCCGCTCCGAGCTCGCTCAGTGATAACCAACCCCCGATGGCTTTCTGTACCTTTGCTCATCCCCGAGAACCAATCGAATAGTGTCTACGAGCTTTGCTTAAGACACGACTTCAACACGGCCCTTCACACCTACACATCTACACCCCCCCTCTACAACCAAATATTACTCCTTTTCCTTAGTTTTTGAAATGGCAGATTGGGACAATCGCCTCCCACATGATACACCAAAAAGGAGCAAGGTCCAGGGTGCAGTTGAGTACTTAGAAGCCAAGGGGATCCCACACTACAAGGAGGACATTTTCCAACACTTTGAAGTCTCCCATTGCCAGGGATGGGCTATGATCAGTGATGATAGTGTTGATAGGCGTCATCATAATGCTGAGGGACCTGAAAAGAGAGGCAGAAAGCCTCTGTTATCTGCAAAGTAGTTACAAAATATTGAGAGGATGATTCAAGATGAGGGTTTTGAGGTGCGTGCTTATACTTGGGACACTCTTGCATATGAAGCAGGCCTCTCCTGCAGCGGCAGGACCTTGCAAAGAGCACTAGGAAGGATGGACTATCATAAGTGTATAGCTTGCCGCAAGGGATGGTGTGGCAGAGACCTAAAAGAGACCCAGAAGGAGTATGCAAAGATGGCTAAAGCTATGCGTCCAGAGCCAGAAGATTGGGACAATGTACGCTTCTCTGATGAGGTTCACTTTGCCCTGGGGCCTCAAGGAAGGATTTACATTATTAGGAAGCCTGGAGAGCAGTACTGTAGTAACTGCATTCAACACCAGAACGAGCCAACCCCTATGGAGAAGGAGATGAACAAGATCCATGCATGGGCAGCCATTGGGTACAACTTTAAGTCTCCTCTCACCTTCTACAATATCTCTAGCAACAAGAACGGCAAGATGACTCAATGCGCATACATTGATCAAGTCCTGAAGCCTCTGGTAAAGCCCTGGGTGGATAGGGGTGACAGGTTCTGGCTTGAAGAAGATAACAACTCTGGGCATGGGCCAGGAAAGAGCAATATTGTCAGAACCTTTAAGAAAGACAACAGCATTCAAAGCTTCTTCAATGCTCCCTCATCCCCAGACCTTGCTCTTATTGAAAACTGCTGGCAACCTCCTAAACAATACATCAAAAAGTTTCCCCATTGGGATGAGGATGATACTTGGGAGCTGGCTCTTGAAGGGTGGGACAAAGTCACTCAAGAGTTTATAAATGAGCAGACCAGAAGCATGCCTTGAAGGCTTCAAGATTGTATAGATGTAGGAGGAGAAATGACAGGATGGTAATCATTTAAAGGAGGGTGGTGATGAAGGCTGGTTGTAACGACCGCAACCAAATGACCACCGGTACGGTTCCGAGTCGTTCCTTATCTGCATACATGTCGGCAGGCATCGCGCTGCTGTACTATCTGAGCCCCTGTTGGCACCTGCATGCACGATAAGCTAGTCTACCGCTCCGGGTCCAATTGTCCTCCTAACGGTATACTTAAGCAGTTCAACACAGTTGTTAGATAGAGTAGTTTTTCTGTATCCTTTCGTACAAGACCTATAGGTGTAGGGAATTCAATCCTAGTGTTCTCAACGTCCCAGCACTCCCATATGCC